TCCGCGCCACCATTCCTATCTACGGCAACTTGAACACCGGCTCATGAGATCTATCACGCCGGCCGTTGGCTTTCTCTGACACCAAGCATACAAATCAAAGCTCCGATTCGGAAAGGAAAACTGAGCAAACGCGACCCAGCCCGGGGCTCGCGTGTCAATCACGACGTTGACGAGAGAAAGAAGAGACGAACACACGCAATGGGGGAGGATGCAGAAGAAAGAGAAGCAGCGGTAGATGAGGGGGGAAGAGGAGGAGAAGGACAAGAGAGGGGGGCGTTGTTACCGACCGAGTCTTGCGGTCCGCATCATATCTCGCGAGAGTGAGAAACGTCGAGGACGGGCGTGAACGAGCGTGATGTCTCTCTCTCTCTTTCTCTCTCTCTCTATCTATCTACACACACAATTATCTCTATTTTTCTCACTCACCCTGTGATACTAGTCCGCGATGAGAGGAAGCTGCGGTCGACGTCGGCGGCGGAGTTCCGTCGTGCGGCGAGCGCTTCGATGATAGTAGCCGGGCAACGACTGACACGTACGTACGTACGCACACACGCTCTTCGATTACGAGTTCACCTGGTATACAGTCTCCAGTCAGCACAGAGTACACCGACACCGATGACGATACACACTGACGACAGTGTAACTCGGCGCGGTTCAGTCGGCGACGCGAAGAAAGCACAATGGCCGACCGCCGCTGCGCGCTCCGGTCTCGCTGCTCGCAATCCCGCACGGGGCCCCACGAGGCGCGCTTCTTCTTGCCCCTCCAACGAGGCGACGCACCTAGCCTACCTTCCGGTCGGGACGCGCGCGCGACGCGAAACCAACAATGATTATGATGAAGATGATGACGATAGTCTTGATAACGATGACGACAACAGCAGCACGTCGTAGTAAACGAGTTGTAGCTTACGAATGACCGCTTGGCAATCTCTGCGAGGAATGACGGTTCGTCCGAACGCGTCGAAGCCGCTCTCTCTCTCTCTCTCTCTCTCTCTCTCTCTTTCTTTCTTTCTCCCTCTTCCTCTCTATGTGGCTGTTGACGCGCCAAGCCGCCGCGCGCCACTCCACGCGATAGATAAAAACCGACTGACTGGCGTGCCGCTCCGCGGCGAGGCACGATGCGTCCGCGTCGACGAGAGGTTAAGTGGAGGGGAAAAGACGCGCGCTCCCTCGCGTGCAACAGAACAGTGCGCAGAGAGAACGACGCACTGGCGAGATGCACGGGACACGCACGGATAGACGGACGGACGAACGCTGGCTGACTGCGATTGGGCGTGGTGGAATCCTTAAGCTCGTCTTCGCGTATCGACCGCTGATGCAGCTGCCATTGCAGCGGCGCGCGCAGCCGCGCGAGATTTCAAACGATCGCGCCGGCACACTCGGGCTGCGTTCGCTTTGGGCGCTTACACGCTGTAAGCGTCATTCTATCTTTATCGCTGATTACATGCGGGAGGATAGAACGCTTACAGCGCATAAGCGCCCAAAACGAACACAGCCTCGGTCAGCGTGATGAGCTTCGATTATTTTTTACGCGGGCCTTTCAAACTGCTCAACGGTCGCGCGTGTGTATATACAACAGAATTGCGAGCAATTATTTTTTTAATTAATTATATGTTTAATTTACGAGTAATATGAGCCAATTCAATTAAAGACCGTTTAGCTGGCAATTGATTTCAACAAATTCGATCGAAAACCGTTCGATTGACGATTGGTTTCAATGAATTTAAGACTGTTCAATTGACGACTGATGTGAGCGAAGGGAATTAAAGATTGTTCTTAGTAAATCTTATTAAAGGCCACTTAATTGACGATTGAACTTAGCAAATTTAATTAAAGAACGTTTCATTGACGATTGATATGAACAAATTCAATCGAAGATTGCTTGATGATGATTGATATACTCAATGCTTCTTTCAACGCAGTTTCTATTCAATCATCGATATTTTCTATGATGCCACGATGCTGTAAGAATGAATATTATCCACGAAACCAATTATAATTTTGAGTAACTAAACGTTCTTCGAATGCATCAATTAAATTTGCTCATACTAATTGTCAATTAAACAGCCTTTAATTAAATTTGCTAAATTTAATCGTTAATTAAATTATTTTTAATAAGATTTACCAAGTACAATTGTTAATTGAACGGTCTTTTATTCCCTTTGCTCATATCAATCGTTAATTGAACCGTCTCTAACTGAATTAATTAAACTGATTGATTCTGCTCGAATCAACTTTCAATTAATTGAATTAATATATATTTATTCAAATTAATTATTAAGTTGAGAAAAATTTAATTAATATTTAATTTAATTAATATTTTTACATCATTGACATCTTTATCCTAGTTTGTATATATGTTTTCTGGTGGAGTTTGGATCACAATTGCAAATCATTATTCACAAATCTACGCGGTAATTTGTCATGTTAGAACCCGAAATGACAATATTATAAGACATCCGGCATCATAACCGTAAAAAAGAGACAAAAATAGAAAGAAAGAAAGTGAGAGAAAAAGAAAGAGAGAGAGAGATTCAAGAAAAACGTAAAAAATTTAAACATATCTTTATTCTTTTTATATATGCTATTACCTATATATATTATATTCTATTATCTATATTATATTATCTATATTGTATTCTGTTATTTATTTATTAAATAAGAATATAATAAAGAGGCAATATTTATAATCTTGTATTCTGTCATTTCGGCTTTTGTCAAAAATGATTACTACACCAATCGGTAAATAGTTGCTCGCAATTGTGATAATTTGTTGCGTTTCTGACTTTATTGTAAAATATATATTCAAGCCATTTCACAAACGAATGTACAAGGTCGGGGCCAACCTCGCGACAAGTGAAATATTGCCATTTATCGTTATGCAACAATAATTATGTCTTTGCTTTGGCTAATAATAATATTTCAACGATATAGATGTGCCAGAAAAGAGAGAGCCAGTAGACACCAGCTAATAATGTTTCAATGTTATAATTTTCCACTCAGCGATGTATCTGTTACATACAAAAAGGGTTGGATAAGTTAATATATTTCTTTAACTATAAAAGTTAAAGTTATAGTTAAAAGCTTATAAAAATCAACTTAGTTAAGTTAAAAGTTACTTAAACAAAAATTTAGTTGAAAATTAAGTTAAAATTGAATTAATTTCCTTAAATTAAAAGTTAATTATGTAAAGCAATATGTTTTTTGCATAATTAACTTTTTAAGCATAAATTTATTTTATGTGAAATAATAAAAAGTAACTTTTATAGAAAAATATCGAAATATAGTCGATATTTTCCTATAAAAGTTATCTTTTCATTATTCCATTTTTTTAACTTAAAACTCTATGTAACAAAATAATACAGGCGCACAGAGAGACAGAAAAAAAATCTGCTGACAATATCTTTGATTTTTCTTATTTAACGTTGTAAGCAACCTGCAATGATTTCCATATTTTGAGACATTATTTTAACTTATACAAAATAGTCAGTAAGTTAAAATTAAGGTGTCTTAAAATGATTAGTTTGATTGAAAGTTGACTTACTTAAAATTAAGTTAAAATTATTAACTCTTCTGAGTTAAGTTACAAGTTATTAACTTTTCAACTTAAATTAAAATTTTCTAAAACTGATTAACTAGTTATTAACTATATAACATATGTTGTATTGCATTTGTACTGTTAAAAATCATAATATTGACTATTAATATTATTGTTTGTTTGTTATATACCAAGGAGGTGGGGGAAGGAAGAGGAAGAAAGGAGAGAAAGAAAAAAAAAGATCAAAATGTTCATTTGCACGAGAAAGAGGTGAACTATTATAATGGTTGCAGCAGTATGCAAGAAAGACGTAGAAGATGTGCGCAAAACAAATAGCACGCTGGCACGCCCGCAGGAATCCAAGTTCTCTCCAATTCTCTCTTAGAAGATTCCGCGGGTGCGTGGCGAGGCGAGCAAACTTTTTTGGAAGATTGCCCGTGTATCGGACTATCAATACGGCGATTACGGATGATTCGACGTAATAAATATCGCATCCGACGTCTAGACTCGTTTTTATGCGTAAACACTTGACGACAAATCGACGACGACGTGCGCGACGAATGAAAAATGATGTGCTTGCAACGAGAGCTTCTCGAGAAATATTGCACATCATACTGCATCTGCGTGCTTGAGGGAGAGAGAGAGGAAAATACAGACGTACAGAGAAAGAGAGGGAGGATGATTTATGCAAGAAAACAAGTTACGAGTTCCTGCTTAACCGTGTGAAGAGTAACTACTTTGAAATTCAATTTTCAATGGCCTCTTCTCGCCTCACATTCAGTTTTGGCTTAACAAGTCGACTGCCGCTATCATTCCCACATATTGCTGCGAAGCATAACTAAAGGTTTAGTGAACAAAGTTACGTGAATGCATGTAATGCCGCCGATCACAAGGTAACAATCGAAAGTGTAATTATTGAATCAAGCGTCAGCAGAGCCAAACGCTGTGATGGGCAAATTTAACGACGTAGACAAACTATACTCAACGATACTTAGTGCTTAATCAAGCGCATCAGTGAGACGCAAGCACGTGTTTGCACACAAAAAAATTTAATTCTAGTGCTTTGCTTAAGCAAAGCAATTAATCTGTTTTTAAACTTTCCTTCTTTTAAGTAATAGTTATCTTCAATGCGTATTCTTCAAGATACTTTTTGATGATGATTTTAAAATATACTCACACACACACGCATTCACACAAAAGAAGATGTCCAAAATAACCCTGGAGCGTACATAGATAAAACCTAGTGTGATTAAAAGTATTCATAAAGCTGTACATACATCAGAAGTTGTAACTGCACCATCACTGAAAAATATTGCAGTCTTGAGATATAAGGCGATTTTTTTTAATCTTTTTCAATGTACTACTTTGAGCTATGTACTACTATGAAGCTTATAAAACTGCAAAATATCTCTTTCTATGTATTATTACTGTCGATTACTGCATTCATTATTGTTCATTAAAAATACGATACAATCGGATAAAGATATAAATGAGGAATAAAAATTATATAAAGTAATTATTCATTTTCGTCATCAGTATCCGGGACCAAACATCGTTCCACTTATAAATGCAGTTTCAGTCGTTTACGCCAGAGGTCATAAGAATTTACTCTCCTTTAAAAAAAATTCATTATCATGTACTCAAAAGTTGAATTGACTCTCTTTACGAGATTAATTTGATTTTTTTTTTACGAGAATATGACAAAATTAGATCGCAGAAAAGATTACTTCGACTTTGTATAGTAAACAAATTGAATTTTTGTTTTAATTTAATATTCTTGACTAAAATGCTAAACTTATCAGAATTCAGTATTTCGAAAGATTTAACAATAAACTTATGATAAATTAGCAGATATACAAACTGAAAGACTTAAAGCAAGTAACATTCATCTGAGTGCAGTATGTATTTTTTTGTGCGTACGTTTGCAAGAAGCAAATCGATCCTTGTCGGCGATTTGATCGCTGTTGTCACAGGCAAAACGATGAAGCGCTCCACTTTCGCTTCTTTATATTCAACTCTTTGGTACATCAACCTGAGTGTATACCCGCCAAATAGGCATGAGCTGTATCGATTCGGCATTAATAATTCAGCTAGGGAGCGTCCATAAACTTTTACTTATTCACCAGCGTGACACTTTTTCGCTCGCCTACGACTCACCGCATTACGAATCGCGACTTAAGCACGGTATTAGCAAGTATATTGCCGGGGGGAGATGTAGAGAACGAGGACACATGTGAATTCAGCGAGGAGGGAAACTGGTTATTCTCTCCCTTTCCCTCTACTACGAAAAATAATATGTACGTACAAATTTTAAGATATACTGAGAAGAAAATGTTTCAAAATTTACTTATGAGATATAAAGTGTATTTTTGTGAAATAAACTTTAACCCCACAAATAAATTTTCAATGTACATGCTAAAAGAAAAGATATCTGAAAAATAAAAAAATGTTTATTCATAAAGGTACTAATAATATATTTACTTGAACATGGACAAAAACAGGTTTCATTAGATTAACTAAGTTTCTGGTAAAATATGAACGGAGAAAATTCCGGTAGAAATTACCAGAATTCTGTTTAAGTTAATCAGAACTCTTTTAACTTGAACGGAATTCTAGTAACTTCAATCGGAATTTCTTCGTTCGTTCGTAACATTATCACAAAAATTTGATAAAACTTTTTTGGTAACTTTTTTTCCGTGTACTAATATACACTGAAAAAAAAC